AGCATTTGTTATTACTAAACAATTGTTAATATATTTCCAATAGTGAATTCTAGTGTACCAGACGCGACTTAAGTGTCTTATATTTAAAGTGATGCAAATTATGTTGATTCATATCTCAAACTACGAAATAATTTTAGAATCTTCAGATGCGAATATAGCAAAAATTATCGCAAGTATTCAGAAGTCTTTCATAACTCAGTTTCGTCAACGCTATACGAAATGTGGTAGAAAGAAAGAACAGTTTTTAAATAAAATAGCAATTGATAGGTTGGTATTTTCACTGTAAATCTAGAAAAAAACTACATGCGAACCTAAACCTCCTACTTCGACAGAGAAAAGAGGAAGACCTAAAATCGGATAAAGAAAGGGAAAAACAAGGCTTGCTTGATACCTGTGGACTTCATACTGAACTCATAGGTTTCATCATTGATATTTTACGAGCAGGACAGAAAACTAGAATGAATTGAGCAATCTTAATGAATAATCTTATTAATGAACTGGCACATATAACAGCGTATTCAAAACATTAAGCTCTTAGCATTTTCATAAAATTGGATCTGAACAAGGCACAGTACGAAAATATGAGGAGTTGTTTGATAGCAAAGAATTACTTATTGTTTCCATCATACAGGTTGATTCGTGAAGCTAAAGAATCGTGCTATCCGCCAAAATATGTATAGAAATTACTAAAGTTAAAGCAGAAATCAAATGTATGTACCATTTGCAGTGCAAAACCCACAGAAATGAACAATTTAGAAAAAGTACAAAATAAACCTGTCGATGAAACTTCCTATAAATGGCCTTTCAACTTTGCATTCGTGGAACTTATTTTACATTTATCTTACAATCAAAATACAAATCAATAAAAATGATCTGCCACAACAACAGAAAATAAAAATTTAAAAAGCAAAAGAAGGCTTATGTACCAAGAAGGTTCAGAGAAGAGCTTGGATTAAATATAGATAAGCCGAAGCAAGTTAGTGGCAACACTAGTGACGGCAATACAGCCACAAGATTTTTCCAAAATTATCATTGTATATCAGAAATTACTAGTATATATGAGGAATTAATAAAACTGATATGTTATGAAATGAAATGTGAACGAGTGATACGTTACTTTTCTGTCTTGCCTTTTGGGCAACTTTCAGAAGATGCTCAAGAGTCACGGAAAAAAGACTATAAACAGTTCAGGCTTCATCATGCAAGACAATGTTCGAGGGACCCTCTAACAAAGATGTTCTACACGCATTTTTATGTACCTCTGACCCATACATAACAAGTTTAAGAAAACAATTAAAAATATTTAGTACTTTTTGATGAAGAAAATCTTGAGACTTATAAGCTATCTTTATAAGAATTTTTGTTTTTTACGCTGATACTTTTACTTATTTCTGTATAAACTTCTTAGGACATAAATGTAAGTCTACAAATTCTATATTTCTTGTATTCCTAAATTATTTATAACTATTAGAAATATTTTTTTACTCACAAAGCATACATTATTTAAAAGTATATATATTTAAGATTATCAGGAAAAAAAATCATGTACATATCTTTATTAATACAGAAGTTATAGATTTATGAGATGAAAATGAGTCAAAGTTCCCACTGTGCGGCGACCTTGTATAACTTGGTGCCGCAGGACCGACTCGTGAACCGTCGCTTGCCGGGAGCCTCGCCCCTGTGGCGGGATATAGAAGCTTACGTCAATAACGTCGCACGTGATCCCAACAATTATGTTCTGGAAAACGTGGTGGTAGTGTACGAGGGCATGGATGACCCGCAGTGGCCCACGGGACACTCGCTGCGGCCCATCGGATTCATAGTCGCACTGTCGTTCCACTACGATAATGACAGAAACGCTCCCCAAAATGTGTTATGTTATATCCCTAACGAACATTAGAACTGAACATGTTAACATGTTTGACAATGTGAGGTGAGTTGTGTTGCGATCTGCTGTACTGCGTGCGATCATTGTGTGTGTACAGCAGTAGAGTCACTCAGTGCACGGGGCGCTGTGGCAAATATATTCTGGTAATGAAGTCAAATCATCTGGTAACAACACTCACTACACGCATTTACCTGTTAGTTTAACATTTATGCTTTAAAATAATAAAAAATCATTCAAATAAAAAAAAACATATTTTAGATATATATGTTGACGTTAACACTTTTTCTAATTCCATATTGTATTCAAAGTGCAATAAACATAAAATATATAATAATCATAACGATACGTTACTTATTTATTTGTCTCAATCTATACACTAAATAAACTTGAAAACCTCGAGTCATTTTCATGAGTTCATAACACGTAACACTCGCTTGCATGAAGTCGCTTCAATGAATATAACAATTACAACAATGTGTCTATTTAATTTCATTTAATTGGCACTGTGTTGACCCAAAGTAAATCAAGGATTAGAACTAATGATTCAAAATCAAAATATTTTATTAACGGTTAGTAATAATCAATGTTGAAATATTTATAATAAATTATCCTTATCACTATTCGTTGTTTCATTAACTAAATTGGATCTATGATGACTCTATTCAAAGTCGTCTATTTCTATTTACATTTCTACTTTAGTCTCTATCTGGACATATTGTTTATCATTATTTTGAAGTACCTTCGACCGTAGCACAGATTACAAAGATAGCTGCTCGGCAACAGAAATAGGTAGCCACGGAACCACTTCCTGCGAAGTGTCTTTCAGTCAACCGTGTTCTGTTGATAGGCTAGGCATATATCCAATCTGTGCAAGTTACCGAGCCTGAAGTTTTTATCTTATATCTAAATTAGTTACTAGAAAAGGCGCAAGCAGCGATGGGGTTTATCCTTACTTTGTTGCAAAATGTGCAAAAACACTGGCACGGTCGCTTGCCATTATTTTTAATAGGTCATTAAGTGACGGTTCATTTCCTTAAATTTGGAAGCAAGCACTTATTGTTCCAGGTCCAGGATTGAAAACTACAAACATTATTCATTCAATCATAATTTAAGAGCACAGCTCCTAAATTATGAATGGAATTATAGCTCCCGCCACCTTCCACGATCTTCTATCAGTCTTTTTAGCTGTTGATACAACACGACTTCAACAAGAGAGGGGACAGGTGCATGTAATTTATACAGACTTTGAAAAAGCTTTTGATAGCGTACATCAAAGAACTTTAATAAAAAAAGTATATGCTGGGTATAAATAGGGATCCCCTTCGATGGGTAATTTCCTATTTATCGAACTCAGGCTGTTGCAATAGGAAGTTTTCGATGTAATTGACATCCCCTCAGGGGTTCCCCAGGGATCGCATTTAGGGCCTCTGTTTTATAATGCCTACCTTTATGACATTTACTTAAGCTTTGCTGCGTCTGAATATTTATTATATGTCGATGATAAAAAAATTATTGTGTTATAAACAGTTAGTCTGATTGTTACTAACTACAAAATGACTTGTTTGATTAATTATACGAAAAAACAATTAATGTACGTCATGATAAATGTCAAATTATCAATTTTACAAGACGTAAAAACAAACAACGTTTGTTGAGGCGCTCAAGTATGCCGATACTTTAAAAACATACAATGCCTAAACTCTGTACATTTTGCATATGTACGTAGTAGAGTAGAGTACGCGAGCTGCAATTTGATACGGTGGTGCATGCAGCACCACCGTATCAAATTTATAAAGACCATCTGCATCTGCAGCTGCTACATGCAACGACGATTTACTAAATACTTTAATTTTAAACAAAAGAATTTCACAAATTATGAGGAACGATCTTTTTTAGAAGCGTTATAACAAGTAATTTAATTTAAAAGACTACTGACTAACATTATTAACCTAAAACTAATAATCTTAAAAAATATAATATACAGTACCTAACTAAAATATTATTAAAAGGAGTCCCTTTAGGCAACGTTCCGAAGATACTGTAATGTATGTAGGATGTGAATGCTATAAGTTATGAACATTACACTTGCGTGAAACGTGTATGCTTTTCGATATTTTAAAAACATACAATGCCTGAACGTGTACGTGTCTGTACACCATTACATTTTGCATATGTCATCTTATAATAAGTACTTAAAGACGCAGATCCCTTTAGATATTGTTCTAAAAACACATATAAAACGAAACTCTATCATATACTTAATCACAACTTATAGTTAACTTCATACACTTTAACATACCATTTATACATACCTGCACACACATTCCGTTTTACACACACACATACATACAAGGGACTTCTAATTCAGATATTAGTAGATATCAAATTTATAAAGACCTTTATCTGCATTTTCTTTTGCTAAGCTGAAAATCTGTTATTGTCTTTCTCTAGATATTTGGTACCTAACGACGTTTTATACTAAATACTTTATTTTAAACAAAAGATAAGTTTCACAAATTATGAGGTTAACTATTTACTCCGGTTCGAGAAATTCCAAGATGGTTAAGAATGTTGTGTTTTTCATAACTCTAAAGAAAAAACTTTCTTAACAATGTTAGAAATGTTTGGTATTATATCAGCTGTTAGCACGGACGTGAAAAAAAAAGCTCTGATTTCCTCACCCTCCAAAATTTATTTGACTTTCACAAGCTTCAGAACTCAACTTTCTTAACCATGTTAGAAATTTAGTCACCTCGACCTGTTCGTAGCTCCCAGGACATTATGGGAGATACCAGACAGAGATATTTAAATTTATCAGGTGTCGGTGTAGTCAGGGGCGGTCTCTGAAGCAGGAAAACTTGGACGCATTGAGTAGTAGAGTAGTAGAGCGTGCGCTACACTCACACCTACGTCCCATGCATCTGTTAGTGCGACCGCGCGCAATGATGTCAATCAATGACTATTCGAGAGCAGTGTAGGGGTTTCCCAAACTACGCGTGTACATTCAGTGGCGGCGGTGCGGTGCGGTGGTGCGGCGGGGTGCGGGGCGCGGGGGGCGGGTGGTGGGCGGCGGTATTTGACAGTTTGTTTAGTTGGTGGTGGTCCAGTGAGGCAGTGACCACCGGCAGCGCCACCAGCGGCCACTCGCTGCTCACGTGAACGAACGCGCGCGCGAACCTCTCGCGGACACCGCCAACATTACAGTGAACTTAAATAAATCAAAGTGATGAAAGGGCAAAGTAAGAGATTCGTTAACAACAAAGGGAATGCTTACGACATGCGCGTGGAGAACAAGGATGCTGAATCAAACGTAGGATTTTTCGATTTGGTAAGTTTTTTTTAAATATTTAATTAATATTACAGAATAGAACGGTCGAGAGACACGCTAAATGTATAAGTATTATTTTGTACGTATCAATTTATTTTCTGTACTATTGTTGTTTCACAACATTTTGATACAATTTTCTGCAGGCAGGTGCATCTGCTCATTATAGAATAGTTGTGCCCGCGACTTTGTCTGCGTGAAATAGAAGACGAATAACGAATTTCAATCCAAATGTTCATCGATTTTTACCTCTTTAAACTTTGAATGTCATGTTTATTTAATCTACACCCAAAAAATTAATTTCAAGTTTCTAACTTTAAAATTCGATATTTTCATCACCCCATTCAACCCCTTACAACCCTTTTATCGCTTTAGGTACTTACCCTATTTCATTTAAATCGATTCAGTAATCAAAGCGCGACAGACAGACATACAGAGTTAGTTTCGCATTTATAATATTATGAACTGTAAACATAACTTAAATATACTTCCACCTTACAAATACAACGGCACTATACTTACATAATAATTATAATATTTATTGTCAGAATAAAACACACACATACATTGGAGTTCGTACACTGTTTGTTGAACAAAACTATATAAAAAAAAGAACCTCTTGAACTAAATATAAAATAGCAACAGTAGCACCACTCTGCGTATTCCGGGCTGGCTGAAGGTGCTGACTCAGCTGATGCTGTGAGCGTAACGTTTACACGCACGGTGCACGACACTGATTTTCAGTCGGTCTCTCTCATTTAATGAAATATAAATTATACGAGCTGCTTAACAAAAAAAAAACAGTCCAGGAACTTATAACATGAGAGTTGTATGCTCATCGGCACACTAGAACTCGTCATCTGAAAGTTTGGCAAAATTGAATTAAAATGATATACACGTGTAAACTGGTACGTGAGGACAATTGACATGTAATAAATAAATAAATAATAATTACAGCAACCAACGGCGGATCCAGGGGGGGGTTCATGGGGGTCATGACCCCCCTCTGAGCCCAGGACTTACGTGGACCACTAATTGAACATAATCTTTTTATTTATGTATTTTGTCACCATACTGATTTAATTAATATTTTTAAGTACAGTTCTTTACATTACACTAATAATATGTGTGTATGTTGTTATCAAAATTTAATTATAAGTTCTTGACTTGACCACGACTATGTGACCCCCTCCTGGATCCGCCCTCGACAGCAATATAAACAGTGTATCATTAATCAGTCCAGCCACCTACGGTGCTGAATGTAGGCACGCGTGTGTACGTGTACTCATATCGGGATCCCGTCATACTCAATACGATACGACTAGGCGACTGTTAGGTTCGAGTATGACGCGCCGTGAGTCCAATGTTTGTGTCAGCGGGCGCTATGCCGACGCGATAATAAAATAAAAGCACTTCCCTTGCGCCAAGGCCTCGGTCAATCTGATAAAGCAACCCTTGCTATTGTTTCCCAAACTTCAAAGAGAGCTCGCCTATCGCCGGACATACTCCTTGGTTTTCGTGTTCTTATTAGTAGTTAGTTAGGTATCACTGGTATGTTTTTTTTCCCGGATGATAATGGAAGGTGCGCCCGCCTGCGCTAACGGTTTACGCTGGCGGGGCACCAGTGGAGGATGATAGGATGAGCAAGAGGTCGGGTCAGTTAGCATATCGTGACAAATTAAGCAGGAATTTATCACGAGGGTTTCCAGGGGAACGTGGAGGTCAACCTGACATGGTACATTGGTAGACGCGGACGAAGTCGCGTGTACAGCTAGTACACAATAAAACGGGAATATTACATAATTAACTTAAGAAAGTTAAGTACTAAGTATTTACTTAAATACTTTGATATAACTTTTGAAAGTTTTTACAATGCGATTATTCGTATCAAATAAAACTATTATCAAATATCAACAAACTATACCTCTTTACTGGATCTCATCTTTTAAACACGGCCATCTTCAAAATGTAATAACCTCAGTTTTTATGTCAATAGAATAATATTAGAATCTATTTTATGTAACTGTGGTACAAGTCGCATTTTCCTCATAATGGAGACCGTGGCGTGATTTACCCGCCAGAGGTAATTATGTATATTTTTTAATTATTCTGCAAATATTGTAGCCAGCAACGTGAGGCGGAGAGCGGTATACTCATGACAGAGTTACAGAGAGACTGTTGACCGATACAGCCCGCGGCCCGCGCGACCTCACCAGGGAGAGTAGTCCACATAATGTGACTGCCTCGTTGGTCTAGTAGTTTAGCATACCCCTTTACTACCCTTTTTCGATTCGGTTCGATTCCTCGCACGGTACAAACATTTTGATTCATGAGTATTATTGTTTGTATCGGGCTGGGTGTTTTCTATATAGAATATGTATTTATTTAAAAAAAAATGCATCCATCAGTTGTCTAGTACCCGTAACACATGCTCTGCTTAGCGTGGGACTAGATGGCGCTGTGTGAATTGTCCTGAGATATATTAGAGATTAACAAAAGTTTCAAATTATGATATACTTAAAAAATACACAGATAAATAAAATTGGAGTGTCTGTTTGTAATATTGAAGTAACCGTTTTTTTACTACATGCATATGAATATAAATACGGTACATACACCAAAATACATTATTTAAAATTTTTGTCTGTCTGTCTGTTTGTTCCGGCTAATCTCTGAAATGGCTGGACCGATTTTGACGGGACTTTTATTGGCAGGTAGCTGATGTAATAAGGAGTAACTTAGGCTACTTTTATTTTAGAAAAATTCTCTAATATAACTTTTTTTGTTAAATTCGACGCGGACGAAGTCGCGAGTACAGTTAGCAAATATATTAAGTACATGCTTTTTAAACTAATTTGTATCCATTATGGTATACAGTTACCTAGAAATATTAATTGCATTTAATAATGTCTAGTAAGACAAATCCAATATTGTGTACTAAGCACTGCCGTGCCTGAACTGTGTCACCCCACCTTACATTTTCCTATTGTGTTATGTGAAACAATTTGAAACTTAACACTCGTGTGTCCCCTACGGCGGCGGCCAGGGGTTGTGTGTGAGGGCGCGCAGGTTGGGAACCTATGGCGTTGGACAGCCTACTATTTATATACTGCGTTTTATTTTGCGTAGAAAAACATAGTAATGTGAAATAACATGCGACGTTAAACGTTAAAATTGTTATTAGTTGTTATTGTAGAAAAAAATATTGCTGTTTTGTAAACACGAGTATGTAGTGGTTATAGAAGAGTGCGGCGCTCGCGTGGCCGCCCCTCTCTTCAAACCGTTCTATCACAATTCGACAAGTTAGTCCAAGCCATCGACTGACAAATTATGCTTTAAAAAAATACCACTTTATTTGAGAAATATTCTCTTTTATACTTCTTAAAAACTATTGTTCAACATAACTCACGAACGTAAAAAAAAACAAGTCTTCAAAGTTGTGAACATACCCAACTGTTATAAATCTGCCAAAAAAAAGATATAAATGTCAAATAAAACAGTTTCTTTGCAAAAAAGCTTACTATAAAATTGAAGAATTCGTTAACGATAATAATGTTTTAATAGAAAAACTTTAAATCCATAGCACTGACAATATTATCTGAAACTGGGGCAGATAGTTCAGTAAAAAAGAAGAAAGTTTCTTGCTCATGATGAAGCATTCCGACTGAGTGGTAGAATCAAAATATGACTATTCAAAAGTGCTTGTAATGAGTTTATTTGAATAAAGATTATTTCTATTTCTATTTCTATTTCTATTTCTAAAAACTATTGTTCAACATAACTCACGAACGTAGAAAAAACAAGTCTTCAAAGTTGTGAACATACCGAACAGAGTGCTCTGTCACTCTTGAGGAGACAACGGCTAAACTCGAAAACCGGGGCAGATAGTTCATAGACAATGATTGTGATTCCACGTCTTATAAGGTTCAGTTCACGGAAAAACCAAATCGTGTAAGAATTTTTCGAGGTAACATTTGTATGAGTGGTCCGCCGTCCGCCGTCCGCCGTCCGCCGTCCACCGCCCTGCGGTGAAACCTGTCACTGGCATGTTACGTACTTAGTACTTATTAAAAGGCAACTATGGATATATTTGAAAAGGATACGAGCTGAGTTTCTTGTCAGTTCTTCTCATCTCGAAATCATTCCGAACTTACAGTATATTTGACATATCATATGAGTCTGTAATAGACCTACGTGAATAAAGATATTTTGAATATTTTGAATACATAAATGGATTATAATTTTAAAATCCGACATATCTTATTATCATCATGACACGTTCATGTTCATGTGATGGCGGCGGGACGCGGCGCGGCCTGTAGGTACGAGAGGAGACTTATCATTATCACTGCCTGCGTTATTTTTTGTGGTCCTCTTTTTCTGCAGTTCAGGAAGCGGTTTCAATCAGAGATGAACTGACAACAAACTCGATTGTTATAAAATAAAATTACACATTAATTAATTATAGTTTTTATATGCCTGTGAGTATTACATATATACAAACAATAAATGAATCCGTGTACGTATCTGAAACGTCCATCACCTCAATATACATTGTTCTGAAGTGAGTGTGATCCCAGGACACGTGCCGTCCCTCTATGTACAGGCTCCAACATTTTGTTAGGCACCGATCACATACTGTAAGGTGTCCTCTTTGAAATAATAAAAATAAAGCGTGCTCGGTGATCGTGGGCACTTAATAAGTTACTTCGCGTGTGAGAGACGTAGAAGAGACGCTGCCATACCCAGTTGTACATGTGCGTGTTAAATGCTTGGTTGGTTGGTTTGGTAAACTTGTAGGAGGCGTTTTTGCGACCCCTCGCTGTGCTGTGTGTGTGTGTGTGTGTGTGTGTGTGTGTGTGTGTGTGTGTCTGCACAGATATAGTGAGTGCGGCGACAATCAATCAAACGGTGTATTGTATTGGGAACCTTGCTTTCACCGCGGCCGCGCGGCCGTAGGTACTGTAAATAGCACTCTAATTCCAAGTGGTAGGTACTTGTAA